CCCGGCTGCTTCCTGCTCCGTTAGTGCAGGCTCTGGGAGATAACACCCGTATATTCCCCAAAGAACACCCCGTTTTTTCTTCTTCAGCAGTCAAACAACTTTTTAATTGGATTTTAAGGTCGTTTTTCGTTATCCTAGTAATACTTGAATATATTTGCTTGTAAAAAGAATTATAGATGAAACTACAGCCTTTGACCTCACCCCTCTCAACTAAATGTCATTATCAACTTTGTGTATAGACCTTAGCTTACGCATGCACACACGTGTGCACAACCACAGAGATTCTGGCATTTGTACATCTGTTTACATAAGTGGGATCCTCCCACACATATCTTTCTGCAACCTGCATTTTTTTTTCCACTCAACAAACTGTCTTGCTACTCTGCCCAGCCAGTTCCTGCGGACTTATGTCCTCCTTCCAGGACAGGAACATACACGGTCCAGTTCCCCACCCTGCTGACAGATACTGATACGTTACCAGTTTGTGCTACTACAAGCCCCTTCAATGGAAACTCCCTGTGCGCACACGCAAGTGCTTCTCCAGGGCAGATGAGGACGAGCACAAGCGTTCCGTCACAGGGCAGAGGTCTGGCAAAGGGCAGCAGAGGGAAAACTGCCCCCACCCTTGCGATCTACAATGTCTACTTTTAACCCACTTTAATTTAAAAAAAACACAGCATCAGAACAAAAATGCAAAAAGCCTTTTCTCTGTACAAGCATTCATTATTTATAGAATTCTACATCCTCACCAAATTAATCATATAGACATTTCTAAACGTAGCTGTGCTATTTTATATACATATATATATATATATATATATATATATTTAAAAATGTCTTTCGGAACATGTTTTGATACAGCGGTATTCCAATGTGACTGGCTTCACCTCAAGTTTCCCCCTAAACTGGACAGCTATAAATATCCTTGTGCAGATGGCTTCTTGTACTGGATTTCTTTCTTGAGACATAGTCCTAAAAAGAGCATTATTCAACCACCAGCAGGCACAGTGTCACAGATCGTCACTGCACACGGTCACATCGTCCCGGCCTTCACAGAGCTAACGGTCACTCACTGTGAGCCGTTTGGGTAAAGCTCTCAACCTCAGCTTCCTGATTTTAAAAATGGGAATTGACGTCCCCATGACAAAAAGTCCAATGTGCAAACTGTACAACTCTACAGCGTTTAAGAGTTCTGTTATTTAAAAACTACTTATTGTGGAAATACATCGATTGGTTCGCAAGCACTTAAGCATTTACTTTGTGCTGTTTCAGCAGAGAGCTAGGCTGTAATCCTTTATTCAGAGTAGACCGCTTTTATTCCTTATCGATTTGCAGGGATTCGTTGCATATTCTGGAGAAAAACTCCGCTGTGTTCATCAGCAGTGCCCGCCCTCTGCCCCCTCCCCCTTACACTGACCCACTTTCCTTTGTAGTCTTATGGGTTTTATTGTAAATTTTAAATTTATGTTCTCAAACCCATTAATCACATCATTAATGTGATTTTGTGTTCAACGATCTCAACGTTGAATCCCTGCCGGTTTTCTTTTAGCATTTTTGATTTCTTATAAACATGTGTTTCCTTGACTCATACGAGATTTATTGCGATACGTTTTTCTCCAACTGCTATAGTTTATTGCCACGGCATTATGGTACAGTGGTTCCACTTTCCATAATTTTGTTCCATTCAATCTGTGATGTATTATTACACAACACACAAGAGGGGTTCGTATGTGTTTTAAGGCCCTAATTATATTCCTGCTTTGTTTCCCTGTTTTAAATCAGTGTCATCTGTTAAGTCTGATGTGTTTTTTTTCAGTCCCCCTCTGTGATGACCCTTTCCTACAGCAGCCTTTGGGCCAATGGTAAGCCTACTAGCCTCCCCCCTGAGCCCCTCCTGAAACCTGCCACTCCTCTAAAGGCTGCTTCTAACACCAGATTTCAGAGGACAGGTTACCTGTTCTGCTGAGATTATACTCACCCAGCCAGTGTCAGGCCTTTTCTCTGCCAGAGTCCGAACAAAATCCGGGCCCTGCAGTGAGCAGATGGAGAAATGAAGACAAGGTGTGGTTTAGCGCCCCCTCGTGAGTCGGCCGAGGGCCCTGCATCCCCCCCACCCCCCCCACCAGCATCTGGACACCGCCGCGGAGGCCAGGAACCTACCCGGGACGGATCCAAGAGCTGTTCTATCTGCCGGTCCTTTCGGCTGTTTTCCTCTTCTAAGCGCCGAAGCTTTGTTCTCATCAGATCCACATCACTCTTCTGCATGTGTAATGACTGAAGGACAGAAGGACCACACGTACGGACACACACACCGTGCACACAGACACCCAGTGAGACACTGAGTTGAGAGGCGTTTTAAAAGCCGTCTAGTTCCCAATCAGGGCACTGTGTGTGCGGGGGCGGGGGGGTGAGGGAGGTCTGGATGTCACCTGCCTCATTAGGGGCAGGACCACCCACACAGCTAGGAACTGCCACCCAAAGCGCCAACAGCACCCACCCCCGCCAGCCGCAAACGCTGCTCCACAAATCAGTCCTGTCAGCAGCGAGTCTGGAAGGTGCCAACACGACGTGTTCTCCACGTCCGCGTGGGAAAGCCCATGTTTCTGACACCACACCTCATCATAGTCTAATGTCCTTTTAAAATTCTTCTCAACTAAGGCTCAGTTAGTCCGAGCTATGGTTCCCGAACGCTTATCTGTGGATGAATTTTTCACCAGCCCGTGGTGAGTTTAGAAGAAAGACTATCAATTTTTCACAAAACGAAGTTTATTTAATGTTTACAACTCTCCTGTATTTTGAAATTGTGTCCTTCCTACTGTTTTGGACACATACAGTCCTTTTATGAAATGGTGATGGAAGGGTTAGGGTATTCCAAAGTTTTGTTTTCAATGTCCTCACTTGAAAAAGCCTTTTCCTTGTCTGTGAAGCCACACAACCTGAAAGTGTACGGTTAAGACCGTGCTCAGAAGCCTCATGGGGAAACGGCCGCACAGGTCGGCCAGTGCTACAGTTACCCCACTTCCAGCATCGGCCCGCACCCGAATTAGCCAGTTATCTTGGAGGCGTCCTTCTCCTTTCAAGGGGCTTGTGGTGCTCAGAAGAGTCTGAATGTCTGAACAAACCCAGCTGCCACCACTGAAAAGACAATTCAAAGTGTGCGTCCCACTGAGGGATGCCTGGAAAGCCAGCCACATGCCCACAGTTGGCAGGAGAGATGCCTGGCTCTTGATGAGTGTTCAGTGAGTAAGTCAGTTAATACACAGTCATTAGGAAAGAGAAGAAATCCGGTCATGGGAATTCTGCTTCCAGAAATACGGAGTACACTCACTTTTCCCTATTCCTCCTGCTCAGTACAGCTAAAAACCTCGGTCACTGCATGTAAAGCAAACACAAGAAGACTCGGAAAGGTGGAGAGGAGGAGGAAGACTAGCCGGGACCTCAGGATCCAGACAACGACAAGCAGGGGGCTCCTCCAGTTCTCCTTTGCCTCGCATGCCCTGGCCTGGCTGCTGCAGGGGCCCACGCTGGACAAGGCAGTGGGCAGGGACAGGAAAAGCCTCTGCTCTCTGGCAAAAAGGGGCAGCCTAACAAGGCAGAAAATGCACGTACAGTAACTGCTCCGGCCCAGGGAAAGAGCGCAGGAAACACTGCTGGGGAGCCTGGACCCCAGCCTGCCAGGCTGCAGCAAGGTGCCCACCCCTCCTCACTGGGGCTGGGGGTGGGGGAAGGTGTGTCAGAGGAGGCCAACTGGAGGGCCAGGACTCTCACCATCCAGTGGTGACCAGGTCACACACAAAGCAAGATTGGCGAGTTAGATACTAACATACCAATAATTACATTAAATGTAAACGATCCAAACAAACCAATCAGAAGACGGAGACTAGCAAAGCGGATGAAAAAGCGTGACCCATCCACATGCTGTCTGTAAGAAACTCGAAAGTAAAAGGATAGAGAGAGATGCCATTGAAACATTCATCAAAAAACATTCATCAAATCGTTAATCTGAACTAACATCAGACAAAGCAGAGAAGGGAAACTGACCGAACAGAATGGGACATTACGTAATGATTGTAAGGGTCCGGCCCCCAACAAGACAGCAGTCCTAAATGTGTGTCCACCAAGCAGAGCTGGAAAACACGTGAGGTGACACCCGACAGAGCTGACAGGGGAAACCAAGAAACCCACAATTACATTGGAGACATCAACACCCTTCTCCCAACAACTGATGGAGCAGCGGGACAGAAGGTCAGCAGGGGCACGAAAGAACTCAGACCACCAACAACCGACAGGCGCCAAGGGACATTCGTGGAATGCTCCACCCGGCCTCAGAATGCCCGTCTCTCCAAATGTCCACGGAGCCCACGTGTAGACAGACCACATCGTGGGCCACACAGCAAACCTCAACAAACGTCCAAGAAATGAGGTTATTGAGTGCATTCTGTGGAGTCAAACTAGAGGTCGACAACAAAAACGGGAAAATCTTTAACTCTTAGAAACCAAACAACACGATTCCAAACAATCACGGGTCCAAAAAATGCATTAAAAATGCATTAAAAAATACAACATATCACAGTGGGCAGTAGGCAGTAACACAGTCTGAGGGGGAGGAACTACAGACACAAGCGACAGCCAGGATGGACCTCACGAGAAAGAACGGAAGGAGACAAGCCCGAGGTCACACACCACACGACTCCATTTACATGACACTGTCAAGATGCCAACATTCCAGAGATGGAGGAAAATCAGTGGTTTCCAGGAGTGAGGGGTGGTGGGTGGGGAGGGAGGTGGGCGTGACATCAAGGGGCAGGATGAGGACATCTCTGGGGTGTCAGGGCCATCATGTGTCTTGACTGCAATGCTGGTTACACAGGTCTACACATGAGATGATGTGACCCAGAACTACATATGCACCCTGCACCCCGACATCAGTCTCCTGGTTTCGATATTGCACAATTGTCACGTGAGGCGTAACCACTGGAGGAGACGGGGTGAGGGTGCCAGGGCCTCTCTGCCCTAGCATCGTGACTTCCTGGGAGGCTGCCATTGTGTCACAGCGAGCGTATGACAGGCTGACCTCGGACTGCATGTTAGGCAGGGCACTACCGCCCTTTCGTGGGCTAGTCTACGAACCCTCACAACAACCCTGAGAAATGGTACTGTTATTATCATCCCTGTTTTTCAACAGGAAACCGACGCATCACTTGCTTGAGGAAAGCTACCCTGGACGCTCCAGATCCTGGAGCAACAGTGTTGAAAGTAAAACTCTCTTCTGTCGGGACTGAGAAGCTCAGGCTGACTTCGTTTGAATAAAGTCAGTACGATGCTACCCAGAGACTTGTTTCTGCCCCAGGAAAGCTCCTTCCGAGAGTGCTGCTGTGGGGATTAGTCGCAGTTTCAGGGACTCTGAGCTCACGCAGTACAGTCTCCGAACCCAGATAAGAATTCTCCTGTGGCACCCTGGGGAAAGTCACCCCACGTTCGCTGAACACCTCCCCAGACGGGGCTGCAGTGACCCCTTGGGCAAGACTTCCACTGCTACACATCCCTGGGCATGCTTGGACCCAGGAGAGGGCAGTGTCCCGCTGCTCAGGCGCGACGGTTGCCAGGCTCCTCACCGGGCCCTGGGCACGCTGGCCGCCAGCACCCTGCCGAACCCCTGCCGCCCAGACTGATCGCAGCCCTCGAGGTCCAGCTCGCCTGGTGGGGAAGGCAGGTCTGTGCACAGACCAGCGTGGCGGTGGGGGGAGCCCCAGCCGCTCCCCCAGCGGCACATGAGTATGTGCAGATATTAAAGAGCAGGCGGCAATCCTGGCGGTGGTGAAGGTGACGAGGGTGGTGATCATGAACTGCAGTGCCACGGGTGCTTCAGGGAGGGCAGCAGCAAGGGTCAGCGAGAAGAGCCTCAGCCCCGGGTGGCAGAGGGCCTCGCCAGAAAGCCCGGTTCTGCTACTGGTTGAACTCGGCTGGACGCCTAACCTCGCCGAGTCTCCGGGTCATCACCAGATGACAGCTGTAAGCTATCCAGGGGCTCCTGCAGAGCCCCACTGAGGTCGGGCGTGCGCAGTGCCGTTAACACCAAAGAATTACACACACGGGAGGTTTCTGGTAACAGCACCCCCAGTGACCTTATCACAACGCCGAGCCTCAGGGCGCACAAGGACTACCCCAGTCCTCTCCACCGTGCCGGACAGGCCGGGCGCAGGTGGGCTCCAACCACCGTCGGCCCCTCATGCCCGCCGCTGGTGCGAGGCCTTCCTCTAGCCAGTGTCGCCCAGCTCCTCAGACCCCAGGCCAGGCGTCAGACCCAGGTGTCCCTCCAAACCGCGTGTTCTTTCCCCACAGATAATCCCAGCACGGATGCTGACTTCCCAGCCACTGTCATTAGCAGGCTTTCCTGCTTAAAATCAACAAAGAAAAGCTGGAAACACTACCTTCTTCAGCTCGATGATCTCATCATACATGTCCTCCTTCTCTCTGTGGATGGGGGTCCCAGGAACGGAGCCTGCAGGGAGAAACACAGCCCTCTTACAGGGCCGTCTGAAAGGCAAGAGTTCTGGGCTATACCTTAAGGAAAACCTGCAAGTTAATAACATTATCCCTTTTTTTTTTTAAAGGAGAATAAAAAAGAAAAGCAAAAGTATTTCCACATTTTTAAACTGATCGTGCTCTTTCCCCAAAAGTGAGGAAATCCAGAAAGATGAAGGAAGAGAAAATGAAACATGTGAACTCGGGGCTTAATTATAGTAAAGGAGTAAAGACGGGAGTCTAACGGGGAAGTGATATGATAAACAGCAAACATAATAAAAAAACAAACACACATGCGCTCACACTGACGAGCACGCCCGCGTCTAACGGACGGTGTGCGGGGCGCTCCGCGCCGTGTGATCCCTGAAGGGCCAGGACTCTGACACACAAGCCCAAAATGGCCCTGCCAGCGGCCGGTGCAGCAAGGGGATGTTGCGGGCACTGGGACACGCTGTCTCCACACTTCCCACGGGGCGGACAGGAAAAGCAGTGCCAGCCGAGGGAGGAAACACCCAGCTTAACACCAGACAGGAGGACAGAAACATGAAAACTAACCAACTCTTTCTGGTGAGATTTGGGCTTTTTAGTACTCTTTACAGTTTTTATCTCTAAGACTGCTTATCCAGTAAATTGAAATAGGACCCCAAGTGTCAGGAGGCAGGCACACTGAAGCCCCGGAAGATGTCCCCGCCCACATCAGGGGCGGGACGGACCTTCAGGGGCTACCGTCCTCAGCACACCCGCAGACTCCTACAGATGGAACCCCAGATCTCACTGTCACAGCTCACCCCCAAGCCCCAGAGCCCTTCCTCTCGCTCTTCCTCAGTGGCGGCCATGTCACCATCAACATGCTCACCGTGGCTGGCAGAACGCCTGAGATTTGACCTCCTCATTCTTATGGCTTCTGTCAGATAGTCGGGGGTGCTGCTGGGGGGGGTGGTCCACGCACGCTCCAAGGTGAGGTCTGATCTCAGGGCTTGGGTCAGACTTCCTGGTTTGAATGTGCACGGATTTAACAGAACAGGTACAAGCAGGTACAATAGGAGGCGTGGTCTCTATAATCAGTCTTCCGGATGAAGAACACTCAGGGCCACCAGCAGCGTGTGGCACACGTTCGACCACCAGCTCTCAAGACAGATAAAGCCCCGATCGGTCGCATCTGCCCATCTCGGTGGTCTGAATATTCCCTCCGCCCCCAGCTGAGCAGCCGGCTCCTGCAAGCCAGGAGGGGCGCCGTGGCACTCCCCGGGGCCCCACCCCGGGCGGGCGGCGGTGCCGGGCCAGCTGAGGCCCTCGCACGCAGTACCACATGCGGACTACACC